CTTGATAAATATTCATTGAGTTTTAAAGGAGAACAAGGTCATGCTCTTATTCTAGGAGATAAGAGCCAATTAAAAAATTTTAAATAGTGTTAGATGCCATGAGGAAAATAAAGCAGGTGATGAGTTAGAGGGGTGGTGGTTATTTGGGGCAGATTAGTTAAGGAAGGCCATCTGAGGCGGTGGCCTTTGACCTGGGACCGAAATGAGGCAGACACCGGCCCCTTGAGTACCTGGAGGCAGAGGGATCAATCAGCAGGGGTAAAGGTTTGGAGGTGGGAATGAGCTTGGTGTGTTCAAGGAACAGAAAACCCACCATATGGCCACAGAATGGAGACTGAGGACAACGGGGAACAAGACGACACTGGAGATGGACAGGTGCCGGGTCCTAGAGGACCCAGTGTGATTTTTTTTTAACCACTGTTTTTGCTCCCTTTTTTATTTTTTTATTGTGGCAAAATATACGCAACATAAAGTTAGCCATCTTGACCATTTTTAAGCGTTCAGTTCTGTGGCATTAAGTTCATTCACACTGTTGTGCAGCCATCGCCACCATCCATCTCCACAATGTTTTCATGTTGTGGAACTGAAACCTTATACCCACTAAGTACTACCTCCCCATTCCCTCTTCTCTGCAGCCCAGGTAGCCACCATTCTACTCTCTGTCTCTATGACTTTTAATTTGCCTGCTCTAAGTACCTCATCTAATATACTATTTGTCTCTTTGTGATTGGCTTATTCACTTGGAATGATGTCTTCAAAGTTCACCCTTTGTTGTAGCATGTGTCAACATTTCTTTCCTTTTTAGAGCTGTATACTATTCCACTGTATGCATATACCACCTTTTGTTTATTCATCTGTTGGTGGGCATTTGAGTTGCTTCCACCTCTTGGCTGTCGTGAATAATGCTGCTATGAACATGGGTGTGGATAATGCTGCTATGAACATGGGTGTGGAAATATCTGAGTCCCTGTTCTTGCCTCTTGTGGGTGTATACCCCCAAAGGGATTGTTGGATCACATCCAGTAGGATTTTGTACTAAACATAGTAGGAGGCTGTGGGAGGCTTTATGCAGGGGTGTAACATCTTGTCTTAACAGGACCCCTCTGGCTGCTGCATAGAGCTCCGATTGCAGTGGGGAGGGATAGGAACAGGGAGACCAGGAAGGAGGCTCGTGTGGCAGTCCAGGTGAGAGAAAGCAGTATCTGAAAGCTTCCAGTCTTACTGGAGAGGCTTACTGGAGAGGTGAATACATAAATGATTACAAACAGAGATAAATACTACAGAATAAATGAACAGGAACACGGTGCTATGATCTCAAGGGAAAATAAAAAGGCTCCCTGTGGCATTCTTGCCTATGCAATTCACTCACCTCAATTTGCCACTCTGCTGATGCTTGACAACCAGATCCTGCATTTTCATCACCAATTATTTTGTTTGTTGTCAGTTGGGTGGGTTCGGCACAAGGCCAAGAGTCTCTTGGTCTAAGGGTGTTTGTTATTGTATAAGAGCCACAGATAGGGAGGAAGGGGCTTGGAGAGAAGCAGAAACAAGGGCCTTTGAGTCTGTAGCTAAAAGAGGAACGTGGGGTGGGCTTGGTGGTTAAAAGTGCGGCTGGACCTTGCTCTGCCACATCCCAGCTGTGGGAATCTTAGACAAGTTACCTCATTCCTCTAATCCTCAGTTTCTGCTCCTGGAAAATGGTATGCTTTTTTTTTTCGTCTATCATCTGCTTCCTTCTCAAGAGGGCAGAGATCTTTTCTTTTATTCATTGCTGCATCTACAGCACTAAATACAGTGCCTGGCACCTGGTAGGCCCCAACAAATATCTTTATTTTATTTTCCATTTTAAACTTTGGTGGAAGATTTTAAAGAGCAAAGGACAGCCATCTTGAGCATCCAGTTGAATGAATTCTGCAATGTGTGTTTACATGTGTGTGTGTATATAAATCATGTAACTACCACCAGAGCGAGTTATAGGACATTTCCAGCTCTCCAGCAAGTTCTTTTGGACCCCTTCCTAATCAATACCGCCCAAACATAACCATTATTCTGACTTTAATCAACATCTATTAGCTTTGCCTGGACTTGAACTTCATGGGAATGGGATCATGGAAAAGAAACTTGTTTGTGTCTGACTTCTTTTGCTCCTTATATGTTGTGAGATTCATCTGTATTGTTCCATGTATTAGTGGTTTGATCCTCTGCGTGCGTGTGTGTGTGTGTGTGTGTGTGTGTAGCCATATGTGAATATGGCACAATTTATTTTTCCTTTCAATTATTCATGGGCAGTTTGTTTCTAGTTCTTGGCTATTTGAATAAAGCTGTTACAAATATTTGTTGTAGATGTCTTTTGATGGACATAAGCACTCCTTTCAGAAAAAGGTGGAATTGCTGTACCACTGTGTAATTGTAGGTTTAGCTTTATTAGAAATTGATAGTTTTCCAAAGTGCTTGAACCAATTCACACTTCCACTAATAGAGTATGTTTTAGTTGTTCTGAATCTTTACCAAAACTTGATTTTTTCATTTCAGTCAACCTTGTGGGTGTGTATTGGTATTTTGCTGGGGCTTTATTTGCATTTCCCTGGTAACTAATGATGTTAGGCAACTTTTCATATGTTTGCTCAGTAAACATTTGTTAAATGGATGAATATAAAGTATTTGGATAAAAACGGAAAGAAATCTTTCTCTTAACCTGCTTAAAACCCCACTTTTAAGATTCTCCACTGTTCTTAGGGCTGAGCTATATACCTCCCTTGGCCAACAAGATCCTGCCTGCTCTGACCCTTCTGACCTCTCTTGCCCTGGATGGGTCCCTTCTGTTCCTCCCTCTGGATTCCTGCCACTCAGACTGTTTTGAGGTTTTTCCAAAGACCTGCTCTGTCCTGCTTCATGAATTTTCTCTAAGCTGCTTTCGTTAGCCCAGAACACAATCCAGATTCATGGGACCAGACTCATCACTTGTATTTAAGCTCAAAAGCTCTTTCCTCCAGGAAGTGTTCTCTAACTTCCATTGCTAACAGGCCAGGACCCTTTTAGACTCTCCCACTTTTTCTTTCTAGTTTTTTTCACAACTGTAAATACCTTTTTCTTTATGTGATTATTTGATTAACCTTTTCCCCTATCATAAGAAAACTCTTTGAAAAATCACAAGAAACTCATCCCTGATTCAAAAAAGACATATGCACCCCTGTGTTTATTGTGGCACTATTTATGATAAGGAAAATATTCAGCACAGCCATCAAGGTCAGCAAACCGCTTTTCTCCTCTAGTTGGCAAAGCACTCCCAGCTTCCTCCTCCAAGCTCCTCTTTTGCCCTGTGCATGCCAAAATGCCACATATCAAAATAAGATCAATTGCTCCCCTTGCTTGTGCTCAGGGCTCAGACCTTGGGAGATTACTCCCCTCTAAGCCTGCCCGTGTGAAATAAAATCTCCACCCCCAAGATCTCCGAGTGCCACTTGGTTCTTCCGTCAGTGACCCAGTCCAGGTTTTCCAGTATTTTCCATAACAATATGTTCTGTAACATTTAATATAGCAAGATATGGAAGCAACCTAAGTGTCCATCAATAGATGGATAAAGAAGATGTGGTACATACACACAATGGAATATTTATTCAGCTATAAAAGAAAACAGATCCTACCATTTGCAACAACATGGATGGAGCTAGAAGGTATTATACTCAGTGAAATAAGCCAGGTGGAGAAAGACAAGTACCAAATGATTTCACTCATTTGTGGAGTGTAAGAACAAGGTAAAACTGAAGGAACAAAACAGCAGCAGACTCACAGACTCTAAGAAGGGATTAGTGACTACCAAAGGGAAGGGGTTGGGGAGGATGGGTGCGGAGGAAGGGAAAAGGGAATTAAGGGACACTACAATTAGCAATCACAATATAGGCAGGTCACAGGGAAGGCAGTACAGCACAGAAAAGACATGTAATGACTCCATAGCTGATGGACAGTGACTGCAAGGTGGGGTGAGGACTTGATAATACGGGTGAATGTTGAAACCGCAACGTCGTTCATGTGAAACTTTCACAAGATTATATATCAATGATACTTTAATTTAAAAAAAAGGGGGAGATGTATGCCCGCATTTGCTTGGACAAGCATTAGACGACAACTCTAGAGGAGATCCCCTCACCTCCAGGTTTCAAAAAAAAAAAATCGCAAGAAACTGCAACACTTTCAGGTCCATAGGAGCAGCAACTGTGTCTTGTTCCTAGCAAGACCTGGCATAAAGTAGATGTTCAATAAGTACTTCTTGACTGTATAAAAGTCTAAAAACAGCACAAGGAGCATTATCACCTGAGAGTATCCTTAAAAACTCAACTCACCCTGAGGGGAACCCGGGCCAATAAAAAAATCATGGTAAACAATCCTGTCTCTCTCCTTCCATCCGTAGGGATCTCAGATTCAAGTATTTTACTTTTTTTTATTTGGTGCAGCGGGAGCATGTGTGTTTGCCATTTGTGCGTGTGTATGATGGATGCTACACGTCAGGCAGGGGGTTGAGGAGTAGGGGAGGGAAGAAACGACTTGATGGTGTCACAGTGAAAGCTTGGACTCTTCAGGCCCCAGGTCCTCTGTCCCTGACTGCCTGTGCATTAAAGTTCTGAGGAAATACGGCAACGTGGTTAGCATTAGAGTCTGCCCTTCGCAACCAGCCTGCCTGAGAGTCTTGATAGCGAGGATCCCAGGAGGGCTGAGCTTGGGTGTGGGGCACTCCTAGCTCCTAGAGGGCTCGGCACGGGGTTATTGTCTCCTGGCTGTTATTATTACTGTAGCAACGGTCGTCGTCGTTTTTACAACAGGGCTCGAAACTGATGGCAGGGTCTGGACACAGATCCCGGACGCTCCTGGAGGGCCTCCGGCGGCGGCGGGTTGACGGAGCCCGGGGGGTGGGGGGCCGCGGGCCCACGCGAGCCACCGCGAGGTGAGCAGGGCGCCCGGGCGGGGCGGGCCGGGGCGGGGCCACCGCATCCCCGTGACGCGCCTGCCAACCAGGCGGCGTTGCGGCCCCGGCTCTGCCGCCGCCGCCGCCGCCAGGAGCCGGGCCCGACCGCCCGCCGCCCCGCGCCGGCCGCATGGCGCTCCGAGGCTTTTGCAGCGCCGATGGCTCCGACCCCTTCTGGGTACGTGCTGGGCGGCCGCCTGGGCCGCGTGGGGCCGTTGGGAGGGAGGGCGGCCGGCGGGCGGGGAGGCCGGCCCGCCGGGGAAAGCGCCGGGCTGGGCGGGCCGGGCCCGCGGCACCCCCCACCCCCTCCGTCCCGGCACCGGCCGCTGACGCGGTCGCCGCGGTCCCCGCCGTGTCTGCGGCCTGGGGGGCCCTGCTGCCTGCCCGGCCCGCGACCCGCCCCTTGCGGAGTGCAGCTGATGGGGAAAACTTGCGTGACTCAGATCCGGGGGAGTAGGGCGCGAGGCTGGGGGCTGCATGTGCCGGGCTCTGGGGTTTGGGAGAAACGGAGGGGACGGAGCCCGGGGGAGGGTGCTGAAATGGGGGCCCTCCCTGTTTTGTGGGTTTCCCCTTCCAATTAAAAATAACCTTCCGGGGAAGGGGACGCTAGGGGTGGGAGCAGTTAAGAGGGTTGGCTCTCTGCTTAAGCCCTCCCATCTTCCTTGTGGGTTGGGGTCCCTCATTTCGCAAAGAGCACCCCATTACCAAAGGGCTGCGTGGGAAGAGGTTTATGCTGTAGGAAGGTACCTCCGAGTACTTATGTGGAGGTTTGCTTTGCTCCCTCCCCGGTTTTGCATCCCCATTTCTGTCCTGTGGTTACATATTTTTATCTTTGACTTTCTTTCTGCCTAGCGACTGTGTGGGAGTTGGGGGAACAGCAGGAAAGAAGACAGGGCTGCCTGTCTCTTCCATGTCTCACCTGACCCTCGGGTCATGTTTGGGGGCAGATGGGGATGTCCAGGACCCTGGCACCGTGGGTGTGCTCTCCCACCCTGGTACCATAGGGCTCCTTTCTGAGGGGACCCAAGTGGGTTTGACCCTGGCAAGTTTTCTTCTGAATGTTCGCTGCTGAGCCTGGCAAGGTCTCTTGACTCCACTTTTTGTGGTTTAATCCCTGGTGTCTGGTGCTTTAGCCTCCCTCTAATTGGATTTATCCCTTAGTTCTAGGAGGGCACTTTTGTGTCACACTGTCTTGATTAGTGGTAAACACAACAGGCAAATCTGGACATGATGGTTTTCCTGCTTTTGTTTAGGACGCAAGAGAGAGAAACAACCTTGGCTTTTAAGAGCTTGCGATAGCATCCCAGAATACCCTCTTGTTGTGTTGTGTGTTTTTTTCCTTGCAGGCTGCATCTGGAGTGTTGAGAAAGTCATCCTGGAGGTTCCCAGGGAAAGTCCTTCTTTTTGGTGGGGAGGGGTTTATGGTTGGGTAGAGCAACCAAACACCCCTTGGTGTTTCTCCAGTTTTCAGGCCAGTGGGATCAGAAATTTATTCTGGGCTGAAAATAGTACAGATGCTTTGCATTCAGAGTCTGCGAATGATTGGAAAACAGACCATTTGCAAAGTAGGACTCTAGCAGAGCCGGGAAAACCTTAGGAACCCCTGCTCTCTATGCAGGATGTAAAAACAGCAAGGTTTCATCTGCAAGGATACAAATGGGGATCTGGCCTAGTGTTGCTGTGAATTCTGGAGCATTCCCTTGTTAATTTTCTTCTCTGAAATTACAGGGGAAAAAAAATAGGTGACCCTAAATTAGAGCCTACATAAAGATGTCTTTTATCGATGGCATCTGGCAGTTGATGGCTAATGGTTTTGAAAGCTGAGTGTGTTTGGGGGTGTCCTCCATTTATTTGGCTTCAGCAGCTTATCCAGGAAAACCAAGTGTGTTTTTTTTTTCCCTCTTTGCAAGGACTTTTTTCAACAGAAATGACCAATTGGTTCGGTTTTGCATGGGCTTGGCAGTGGCTGGCCTTTACCTTTGCCTTGCCTCCCTCTTCTTCTAGTCATTGGCCTTCCAAACTTTCTTCTGCCCCTCCTCCTTCTGGATGTCCCTGTCTCTGGAACCAGAGTTTGAGAGCAGGCAGCCGAGGCTATGAGAACTGACAGGTAGCCGGAGAAACCGATTATAACATAGAGCAGGTCGTGTCTGTGTGTTCCAGGGCTGCGTGCTCAGGGCTGGGAGAGACTGGCTTCCCAGTCAGGTAGATAACTGTGACCTTGGGCAAGCCACTTCGCCTTGCTGTGTCTCAGTTTTCTCATCTGTAAAATGGGGGCGGGAGCAAAAAAAGTCATAATTTCTTGTGGTTGATGTGAAGATGAAATGAGTTCTGTTTAGGTAGCTCAGTGCAGTGCCCTGCACAGTGAGACAATGGTTGTTCTTTCCAAAGATGAAGTTGTCCTGTTCCACATTGCTTGCCCCTCGCCTTGGACCCACTTTTTCTTCGGCTGGTGGGGATTGGATCAAGCTGCCCACCCATTCATGCTTGGCTTCTCCTTGACCAAGGTTGTGGGTTTCGAAATCAAGGTGATTCGTCCACATGAGACTCTTATCAGAGCTGCGTTTCTGGGTAGCTGAGCACCAGGAAATGTCCATAGAAACCAGAATGTGGAAGTGGGTCACGGTGAGAGCTCCGCTGACTTCCGGTCAGGCAACTGTTCTGGGATGAGAGGAGAGGTTCCTTGTCTAGATAGAAAGTAGGGGCTGAGTTCACCAGCACTTGACTTGCTTTTTGCATTCAGGCCAGTAGGAGGGGCTGTTTTGTGGCTGATGTTTGAGTGATGGCTGGAAAAATGGGGCTGGGCCTCTCTTTTGGAGTTTATTTTTTTAAATGTATTTATTAAAATGTTGCAAGCCTGGGTAGAAAATCAGAAAATGTCAAAAATTAGAAAAACTAAGTAAGTGTTGTGTGGTGGTTTAGAACGAGTGCTCGCATCCCCTGGGTTCTCCTGGCTCTGCAGCTCAGGTAAGTTCTCCTTTCCATGCCTCCGTTTCCCCAGGTGGAAAATAGGAGCGGTAATATAGTACAGTATCAAGTGAATAGCAGTAACGTGAGGCATGAACAAGCAAATATTTGCAGGTGGCTGGAATGTTGCAGTTTGGTATACAGGTGGCACTCAGTTAAGGGAAATGGTCAACACAGGAATCCGCTAATTAATTTTTGCTGCAGCTGGTGGAGAACTGACGTAGCAGATCATGTTGTGGTTCTGGAGTCCAAATATTTGGTCCTATTTGGTGCTGTTATTGACCTGGGGGAACCCCATAAACTCCTGAATGGTCGAACTTGCAGCCAGTGAGCCGGAGGCAAGGAGTGTTTTAGCAGCTATTAGAAATTCTGCTTGACTAAGGTCTGGCCTTGGAACCAGGCTAATTCCTGCCTTAATAGCTGCTCTTGGCTTCCAACAGTCTGTGAAGAGCCAATTTTTTTTTCTCTGTTCTCCCAGTTTTCTGTTAGTTTTCAGACTTATTACTTTGCCTTCCTCCACCTTATTCCCTGCTTCCTCATTTGTCTGCCCTTTTCAGTCTCTTCTCTCTTCCTTGGGGATGGTTAGAGCTGAAAGGGATCCTGGAACTACAGGGTTCCTCCCCTCCCCCACGTCCTTCATACACAAATAGGATGGGCCTAAAGTAACAAGGAAATGGCTGTGGATAAAATGAGAGTTCCTGTGGCCAGGATTCTCACCTGGCCGTGGGTGACTAGCTCACTGCACACCTGTGGGCAATACATGACTGTTGACTCAATAAAAAGAGCTCTGCCCAGTGCTCTGGGCACGACACGGTGGCAGGGCTGCAAGGCTGCAGAACAGCAGCGCTGTGGTTGGAGTGGTGGCAGCGCTGAGGACAGAGGCCCAGAGGACGGCCGTGTGGGACAGCTGTGCAGGCAGAGAGGCCCAGAGAATGGCTGTGAGGACAGAGGGACCCAGAGGCAGAGACCGGCTTGCTGCACAGACTCGCCCTGAGTGAACGAGATTTTAGTGACTGACCTGCCACCTGGAAATAAAGTTGGGTATAACCCTTTCACCCCAAGAACATTTTGCTGTCAATTTCTTTGGTCACACTGAATCAGTAGTGAACTTGCCTGGGGCTAAAACCCATTGGCAAGACAATGGCTTTCAGGGGGAAAAGGGGAACCTTTGTGAGGACAGGGCAGGAGCTAATTTGGGGCCCTGGGTTGCCTTTAGGCCTTGCAGCAGGAAGCTACAGCTGGGCCATTTGGCAGACTCTTACAAAGGTCGCATTCTCCTTCCCCAGGTGGAGCAGCTCTGTTTATGGTGGTCTTGGAGGTGTGGCACTTTGAGAACCTGGTGGGGGTATCGACTTTTAGGAACTGGTATCTCCCTCTGGGTGTCCCCAACTTAACCATGTCTCACATAGAGCTTCAGCAATGCCCCCCACCACCCACACCAAGCCTCCCCAACCCTCCCCATCTCAGTGGACACAAGCCCCTTTCTGGGAGGCTCACCGCCAGAAACTTGCGTCAACCTTCCCTCCCCTCTTTCCCTCCCATTCCACATCCCATCTGTCAGCAAATCCTGTCGTCCATTCCTTCAAAATGTTTCCAAATTGGTTGGATTTTCAGCCTCCCCAGCTACTGCTTTGGCTGGAGCCACCATTGGCTCACTTGTGGATTTGAATATTCCCTCGTTATTGCTCTCCACTTCCATCCTTGACCCCTATAGTCTAGTCTAGCCTAGCAGCCAAAGGGATCCTATTCTCCTCCTCAAAACCCTGCAGTGGCTCCCCACTGCCCTCAAAGTGGAAGCCAGAGGGCTCAGAGAGGCCTGCAAGGCCCTGCAGAATCTGATTCTATCACCTGTCTGACCTCAGTGCCTACTAATTTCTGTCTTCACTTTGCTCTGGTTACGCTGGCTACCAGGCAACCTCAGGACCTTTGCACTCACTGTTTTCCCTGCTCCTCCACCTTAACCCCTGTTCAGATGTTACCTCAGGCAGCTTTTCTCTGAGTCCTTGCCCCTTCTTGTACTGTCAGTTCTTCCCAACCTTCCCCTGAGACCCTCCACTGCACTTATTGCCACCTAATCCACCAAACATTTAACTTTTTTTGTTGACTCTCTGTAAATAAACTCCCACCAAAAGTGGGAGTGCAGAGGCTGAAGTTTTTGCCTGTGTTTGTTGATGGCCATAATGCCAGCACTTAGAACAGTGCCTGGGACATAGT